GGCGCGGTTTGCGCGAAACCGCCGACACCCGAGAGGAACGATCGGTTCTTCGAAGACAACACTGTGCGGACCCCATGCGGCGATCGGGAGGAACCGTGCTGCTTGCATCCAAAACCGCCGACGCCCGGGAAAACAGCCTGGTGTCGGACTCCTCCCTCGACTCTTTGGAGGGCGGACCGATATCGAGTGTCAGTATCCGAGACAGGACAACAACTTTAGGGCCGGCATGCTATAGGGAGTGTTCACTGGCGGCCATAGCTGTGTGCGCGACCGCTGAGCGCGTGCTGATGGCTAGCTTCCAGGGTTCTTTTGCAACGTGCATTCCGCACCGTCAAAATGGCCGGTCTTAGAAGCCTATTAATGGGGGCTCGCTCTGAGCATGCGCTCTAGACAGCACCCACAAATATGGCGCCCAGTGAATACTCCTTATAGAACAGAGTCTCAGCTGACACTGGGTGAAAGAAGGCACTGCGGCAAAGGCTGGGGCGCGCGAGCGTTTTGAGATGCAGTTTGAGTCCCGCTCAGCTCGTGCGCTGGCTTTGGCAGTGCTTTCTTCCACCCATGTCTCAGCTGAGACGCTGTGTCTAGCAAGCCGGCCCAGTTTGCCTCGCCTCCAGCGCCATGCTTCCATATCACTTCCCTTGAGCCTCGAGCTTGCACGCGCAGTCAAAGCACAACGGAAGGCACCGTGCTGGAGGCGTCCGAGAGATACGTCGTGCCGTTTGCACCTTGTGAGTGACAGGAGAGACCGTCCTCGGGGAAAATAAGTTAGGAAAAAAAGAAAAAAAAAAGATACTTACCTGTCCTTTGAAGAACAGCCATTGAAGTCATAGGCTAGGGCGACAAGCCTAGCAGGCGCTCTCAAGTTTGCGCAACGGCCATCGCGAGCCTAATCGAATATTTTTGGTCGCGTTTGAATCGTCCGTCATTCCGCTTAACGTTGCTCGTGAGCACTATAACTGACAGAATCTCACGGGTGAATATAAATTCACCAAAGAAAATACCGAGAAAGCTACAAGAAAAGCGTTCTTATCGTATTGATAGGATGCTGAAAACACGAGCTGCATTTTTCTGTAATCTTTTTCCCGGTTTTCTCAGGATGCTGACACACACTCGTAAACGACCAACGCCACAGCGCCGCTTTATGCTCCATGCAGGCATTACATGGTCGCGTCTTATGTAGTCTTACGAACGCGCCCCTTGGCCGAGAGAAACAAGCCAATGGTCACCGCCAAAAAAAAAAAAAAAAAGATAAGCGATTGCTGTTTTTTTAGATTAGAATTAAAGGTTGTCATCAAAACTATTGGTGTAGTGCGAACTGCTCATTTGGGGCGCTAACCTGAGCGGTAAAAATCAAATGGGAAAATGCGCCGATCCCGCGTTCGTGTGCCCAAAGTGTCACGCATCGTACGTATCTCTGTACACCACTCGAAGAGTCCGTACCCTTTTCGCGCCAAGTTTCCGGTCCTGACGAGGCATTCGAAAAGAGAGGCGAACGGCCTTGGTCTCAGAAAAAAGAAACCCTCTTAGCTGGACCATCTAGAAGACAAGGCCTTTCCCCCTAAAACGTCACCAGAAGTGGACCCCCGCAGCACCGAGAGAAACCGCCACGTAGCACGGGACTTCTCGCCTATTATTAATTGAACATTGTCGTCAAGGGGGCTTCTCTCCTCCTCCCCGGCCTTCCTCATCCCCTCGGCTGGCGTTGCCTTCGCCTGTACTGCACAGAGCTCCTGCTTCATGTCTGCGTAACTGTGTTAAAATTCCAATTCGTTCTCATGTGATTGCACATAGTCTCCCCTGTCACAACTATTGGACATTGTCCAGCATTACTTTAATTCTTCTCATTTGTCTTTTGCACTGCGCGAATGTGCCGAAGTTTCCATACGCTTTATAATATGCCTGGCGAGTTTTCTTGGTCGAGTATCGTGTAACGCCCTAATTAGCCAAATAATAAACTTAGATTTCTCCGAAAGCCCAATGGGAGCGGGACGCCAAGTTCGCGTCTCTAGCCGACCGCACACTCGCAGCTTCGACCCTGCTATTTCGCGTCTTCCCATTTCCTCCCCCGCACGCCCTCGTTGTCTTCCCTCTCGCCCCCTGCACACTCTCCCACCACACGTGCGAGCGGTCTCTCTCAACACGAAATCGTCTGCTTCCTGCGCAGGGGTTGCAGTGACGTCAGAACGACGCCGAGTTCTGATGGGTTTTGACAGAAAGGACACTGGGTACACCTCAACGCTAGATGCCTCGAGGTCTACCCACTATTCTTGTTTTCAGTCAGCCAATAAGAGCTCGGCGTTCTCACATCATCGCAACCCCTGGGCGAGAAGCAGACGAACTTGCGCTGCGCATAAAGGGATGCTGCAACGAAATTATAGCGCCTATTTTATCGTCCAAATGTCAACACTGAAGTTTTTGCTGGAACAGACGCCAAGAAAACATGACGTCACGATCGCGATGTGTCTCGGGACGCATCACAACCTCGCAGGAGGTTGTAATGCGCGCGAGAGAAGGGAAATCCAGTTCGCAGCTTGCCGGCGAACTTCCGCGGAGCTGGCTCTGGTTCAGGATTATAGTCCCTGTACAGTATGTATAGGTTCCCGTGAACTCTAGTTCAGAGTGATGTAACGACATTCGACGGATTCCTTTCAAATCATGTTCTGGCGTCTTTTCAAGCAAACACTTCTCTGTGGTGCGGCCTGAACGCAGCTGACGTTTAGACAATAAAATAGGCGCTAGAATTTCGTTGCTGTATCCCTCTAAACTGACCGCATAAATCGGCGTAGGAACGTGTCGCGCTACGATTTAGCACATAGGTGCCCCAAGGTTGTGGAAGCATCGCATGAATATTTCAAACAACAAACTTAACTAAGGGGCCCCGGCGAAAGCGTACCGCCCGGTTGCGCCAAAAGCAGACGATGTTTTTGATTCAAAAACGGCACGCGTTCAATAAAACGCGTGAACAGGACACAAAACAAAGAAAACCGACGGAATATTGTTGAGTAATTTCAGCTTCATGTCGTCTGCTTTTAGCGCGACCAGACGGTAAGCTGGCGCCGTTTGCGCCGGGGTCGCTGCCGCCGACTGTCGGTTGTGCGCCGACAGAGGGAGCGTGACAAAAAAAACAAACACCGCCAAAAAGAAACAACTTTAAGAGTTTGTATTTTGATGCGATGCTTTCACTACCTTCGTGCATCTCTGTTGTAAATCGTATCGCGATACAGCATCAAGCCAATTTCTGCGGTCATTCTAAAAGCTACATCCAGATTCGTGGGCACGCTGTAGAAAGCAAGGGGGCTGGAACTTCTACGTCGCCTACAGAGGGCTAGAACTACGCTGACTAGAAAGAGCTTCCGACCGGTGTGTTGAGCGTCCTTCAGCCCTCGCATCCAAAGTTGTTCCCAAGTGACAACATAGGACGTCACCTCTGTGTTATGCTAGAGAGCCTACATTGGAGAGAGAGTCTATCTCAAACCAAGAAGAGTGCCCAGCGAGAATTGGTCGCAAGTGCGCATGCGCTGCGTTGTCGCGTGGCGATGAGGAAAGCAGGTGGGAAGGCAGAGACGCTTACAGACGATCAACACAATGGAAACTAATACAGGCTCTCTATGTTATTACAGGGAGGTCAGCTTGAACGTTGTTCATTCCCTCTCTTTGTGTTTGTCTAAGGTTCAAGCTGACTTCCCTTTAATAACATGTAGGTCAGCTTGAACGTTGTTCATTCCCTCTCTTTGTGTTTGTCTAAGGTTCAAGCTGACTTCCCTTTAATAACATGTAGGTCAGCTTGAACGTTGTTCATTCCCTCTCTTTGTGTTTGTCTAAGGTTCAAGCTGACTTCCCTTTAATAACATGTAGCTTGTTATTTTCCACGTTATGTTGTCGGATGTCGCGATCCTGGCGGTTAGTCACGCAAGTTCCGACGAAAAGCAGAGCGAACCAGAGCGTGGCCGTTGTCGCGGCGTTCCAACTCCTGGCTGAAAAAGCTTCCACAGGCTGTCCAGCTGGAGAGCGACCCGTAATAGAACAGGCGTCTGCTGCATCCATCACCACTGCCGTGACACCGCCAGGGTCGAGGGCAACGACAGCGTGACACACTTTTGACGACATCGGGCAGAAAACGAGGAACCACTTTTTTGGACGCTGTAAACATACCAGTCGAAGACGGGTTCCATCCACCGTATACTAGCACTTTGCATGGATTGGACATGACTGCCGCGTCGGCGTTCAGCTGGGACACATGTCCTCACTAATTGAGCACAAGCTGGATGATGAATGGATGCTAACGGCTGAACCATTTATAATGGGTGGTAGCTTGCGCCTCCTAGCCTAGAAAGCAGAAGAGCCCCAGCCGACCGCTGGCCTCTGGTAGCTGACTTGGGTGAGGGTAGAAAATCCAGCATTACGACTTGTTGTCTGGGTGGTGTTGCTGAAGGTAAGGACGACAGACAGAGGAGCCAGCCCGAGTGTCGTGGCTGGCTGCTCGGTGCCAGGGAGATTACAAGAGGGGATTAAACGGGAGGGGAAGCAGAGAGTGAAAAGAGCAGAAGTTACGAGATTCAAACCATGCTTCCCTTGAGAAACAAATGGGAGCTTCCTTCGCATTGTTCGTCCCAGGCACCAAGTACCTTTGCCAGGAAGAAAGGGCCGGTTATCTCGGCATGCGACAGTGTTCTCCAGTTCACTTCTCTCTTTTCTAGGTCGTCCACCAGACGTCAGTGCGGACCACAGATTGAAAACGAGTGCTGCATCATCGATCGGCAGTGCTCAATTGGTGAGGACCCGGGTCGCAGCCCAACGCTGATACAGCAGTCGTGCGACACTGTTCCGTCACGGGTGTATATTACAGGAAGTGACTCAGAAACAGCCATGCAATGCGTTGTGCTCTGAGAGCGTTAGGCACGTCCGAACGCAAAACAAATAGCGATGCTAAAAGTGCGCAAACGGCGTCGGTTCAAAGGGAGCCTTCAACGGCACGAAAAGAGACAGAGGGCTTCTAAGACAGGATTGAAACATTTCAATAGAAGATCAGATCGTGGCAGGGGGTAGGGACGATCGTGAACCAACATCTACTGCAGTTCTTCTAAAGGTAAGGAGGGAAAGGAAAAAAAAAATAATACCGACAAATCACGCAGACCAGTCGCTAGGGCTAATCACGAGTAGTGTCCGCTTCAGAAGCCTAGCCCACATCTTCGATCAATCAGAAACAACAATGAAACGAAGCAGCAGCACGATTCGGGAAAGAGGAGCCTCACTCTGTCGTCAGTTCACAGAGCTACGCTCGCAGACAACGCGAAGGCAAACGCGCTTTCGTCGTGCCGTGAGAGCGCCACCAGGAAGGAGCGTCGTGCACCGGCTAGCGAGGACCTCGTGAGGCATCCGAAGGAACTACCTTCGAGGGTAGCAGCACGCAACAGTGTTGAAAATTCGCTTCTTTGTAGAGACACCGGACCACTGAAAAGCGGCAGAACTGGGTTACCTAGTCTCCGCGTAATCAAAGCTTATCTTTCAGTAGCTATTTACAAGCACATTAATGTTCTCTTCCTGGAACCTTTGATCTGAATCACCGACTACAAGTGCGGGCACCACATTTTCATTGTTCGGGATGTTGCAACTTTGTGAGACGTTAAAGTTTCTGGACCCGTTCCAAAGAGAAAAACAAAGAAACTAAATCAGACAAAAAAATTATTAACAAACAACTTTCCGTTTTTTCTCTTGCTTGCCCACCCTAGTCTAGTGGCTGTTTTTGGTCCGAAAGCGTGGCATGCCAAATATACTTGCGGACAAATTTCTGTGGTATTTCCAATGAGGGGAAGAGTGCACATGCGGAGCTTCGATAGGCATTCTCATACCTTTGACTGCGTAGCCACATATCCACACTCAACAGAACCAACTCTGTCTGACTCAATGTACCACGCTGCAAAGAGATACGCCACACACAGGCGCAACCACCCTCGACGATAGCACCTTCGGACAAACCAGGTGTCATTGTGGGCCCTATTGAGGCACATCTCACGAACCGCAGAAGCTCGGCGACGCGTTCCCGCTCGCGTAGTCTGCGACCGTACCCAGTCTCACGCACTGCACTGGCCTTTCACGTCTTGCGGTGTGCGTAGTACATCTCGAGGGGCTTGTTGACCTTCCAGTACTTCTCGTTGACCTGGTCGAGGGTCATGTTGCCAGACAGGGGCGTGAACTGTCCAGGGGTCACGGCGATGTAGATGGTGAAGGGCGGCACGCTGCGCGGCGCAGATGCGTCTTGCTCTAGCTTGTCCAGGGCCAGTCTCATGGCAAGGTACTTGGACAGGTGGTCCACTGAAAGCAAAAGAAAGGACCACAAATGTGGGCAGTAGCAGATGGCAACTGACCATCGAATCTAATAGCCTGATTCGAAGTGCAATGCATAAATAAAAGCCACCTCTTTCAACAGTCTCAAAAACTCCAATATCTCCGTACTAATGGCGGTGATAGGGAAACAAGATCGCCTAAATCAAGTATTCTCGGCTTTTTATATCAAAAGCGACATACAAGGACCAACATGTTGAAATCGATTCCCAGCTTTCTGCTCTATGCTTTCGAAGACGTTTGCTTTCCCTGGAGTGAAGAAGCTGTGTGATGCCGCCATTAAAGCATCAGCTGTGACTCTGCACAAGGATGGTAGACTGAATTTTGAAAAGGGACTATTAAGTTGCCAATACAGTTATGTTGTTACAAGCCTCGTCAGTCACAGCAGCTCACACAAACTAATAGGTTAGATTCCATTTAAAGACTACCGAGGCACGCTCCAATTGCTGACAAAGAATTGAATTTTCGCAGAGGAAAAGACAATTCTGTTTCTGATTGAGTGCACTGCTCACAGCAAACACCGAGGCAGTGAGAGCATGCAGTGTAGATGTTGTGGTCAGATCAGTGGGCAATTTGCACTTGCCATTAAAATTTCAAAAGGTAACTCTAATTTAAGTATGTTACAGGTTACTGAAATTTCTCGGTAGCTTAGGAAGCATTTGTCTACTGAAATGGCAAGTATACTTGTAAAAAGTAAAAAAAGTCCGGTTCCTCGCGGAGCATTAATAATTACCCCCTTTATGCGGATAATTAAGATATATGTAGGTGAATTTTAGATTAGATATGTTATTATCTTATCAAAACATACACATTCCAAGCACCAAAAGGATTGATTTTTTCTCCGGCAACCAAATCTCGTAAGAACTACTTGGCGCAGCGTATGAACAATTCGAAAAACTTGCTTATCCACCACCCAATTACGCAAACGATAGTGAACGGCTGCCGGGGATACCCAGGGATTATTTTGTCAACGACGCGTGCACCTATCGTGAGGGGCTGCTAATTTAGGCGGCTTTGACAAAGGGCAGATCGTGACGGCTCGATGGCTCAGAACAAGTGTCTCGGAAACTGCAAAGCTCGTCGGGTGTTTGCGAGCCGCCGTTGTTAGTACCTATTAAAAGTGGAAGAACGACGGTAAAACCAATTAGACGCCAAGGCATTGCATGCCCACGCCTCGTCACAGAATGTGGATGTGGGAGCCTTTCCCGCTTGGTAAATTGAAACAGGTAGCTGGCTCAACTGACAGCTACATACAGTGCAGGTCAAGGTATGAGTGTTCCTGAGCACACCGTTAATCAAACTTTGTTGGATCTGGAGCTCCGCAGCAGACGACCCTTTCAACATGTTTTGCGTGCCAAGGGTGAATAAACACGGCATTAGGTAGGTGGTCATAATGTTTTGGCTCATCAGTGTAGTCGGTGACAGGTAAAGAATCCAATGCGCAGAGCAAGTCGTCTGCTTCTTGCGCAGGGGTCGAGGTGACGTCAGAATGACGCCGAGTTCTTATTGGCTTTGACTGGAAGGATAGCGGGTACATCTCAATGCTGGATGCCTTGAGGTCTACCCACTATATTTGTTTCAATTAGCCAATAAGAGCTCGGCGTTCTGACATCATCGCAACCCCTGTGCAAGAAGCAGATGAACTTGTGCTCCACATAGATGCTCCAGCAAAAGCCTCTTGCCTTTGATAACACTTTGGCGCACAAGCAGTCAAAACCCGGCACAAGGCAACGAGCTCTCGCTGGAGGCGGAGCATCTAGGGAATTCTTAACCTGCCATTGACTACAGGGCAACTGAAATACCTTTACTAGGTTGCTGTGGAGCTCCGATAAAACCAAGCAACAATGCAATTTGCCTTGGGTTTGACGAGGTGCCCCACCCCTATTTTTGGCTTGATTTGCTATTTTTTTTTCAACACCTAAAGGTAGCCCACACCTCGTAATCAGAGCGTTCGGATCAATAATGACCTTGGCGTAAATGCGTGTGGTTAGCTATGGCTGGATACAGCAAACATTGCTGACTGGGAAGTAGTCATCTTTCCTTCATTGCCCCTCGCCTTGATAACAAGTTTGGCGGAGATACATAATCTAAAAAACAGCATTTTTTTTCAACTTTTCTTGATTGCATACCGAAAGTTAGCCCACTCCTTATTTTCGGCCAATTTGCTCTCAATTTTAGGTGGGCTATCTCTCGGGATATTACGGTAGCCACTAAACAAAGCAGTTATGAACAGCTTCAGAATGATAGCGTACAATGTACCACGCTAGAATAGTATCTGAACGTAGTAAGTGGTCGCTTTCTCAAGACGCAACCACTTAAGCAACTGCTTTCTCTGGAAGCACTATGCAAGTGGCAGATTTTTCTCAGAGGAATTTCTAAAATGCGAATCCGCAGTCTCTGTGATAACTTATGCAATCTTGTCTGCAGCAAGGACGAGGACAAAAGGAAGAACAGGACACAACAAGGCGCAACTCTCAACTGATATTTATTGAATATGTGTTCCAGTATTTATAGTCTGAACCATCATCCCAATGACAACAGACAAAACAATAAAAGCGAAGAAACAACCGTCACAGAGCATGATTGGGAAAACACTATGTCGTTCACAGGAAAACCGGTTCCTTCTCCGATAACGCGATCGACGGCATAGCAACACACGTGTCTCCTAAATAATCAATGTGTTCGGCTTCTACAATTTCGCGTGTTAACGTTGACTAGCATTTTCCAATTTTTACACATTTATCCAACAGTGGGGTACAACCGCAAGTCTGCAATGCAAGTCAAGATAGCCACCGTTTCGCTTTTGCACATTGTTACTGTTCTCGCGAAGCCAATTATTTAGGCAGCGCCCCGTCTGCCCGACGTAGTGCCTGCCACCAGACAACGGAATGCGATAAACCACACCATCTGTACAGTCGACAAATTTCGTTCTGTGCTTCTTTTCACATCCGTGTTTGGCACGCACACCAGGCTTCGATAGTTTTCACAGGTCCATGAGCTTATTGGGCGCAGAAAACACTAGCTTTACATTTCATCGCGTTGCTACTTCCTTCAAATTGTGCGACACTCGGTGAATATACGGTATCGCAACAACTTTTTCTTTTTGTCTTGCCAGCTGGCCTCCCATTGTTTTCCTTGAGACAGTGCTTTCTTGGAAGGCCTTCCGTGACCGCAACAAGAATGTGTTTGGGGTACCCAGCTGCGAATAACCGCAAAACTTGCCGTTCAAAACCAGCGGGGATACAATGCTCACAGGACTTTTTTAGTGCATTGGTGAAACACAGGTTAACAAGCTTTCTGTGGGCTGCATAAAACGGAAGCAACGACTTATTCGCACACGACCCGTAACACCAACAGATGTGGTCGTCGAGAAATAAAAATCTGATGTCAAGGAAGCAAATAGTGGTGTCCACAGGTATCTCATGCGTGACCTTGAGTGTGCCAAGGCACTCCTTAAAAAAGCAGTCAGGGTTTTGTCAAAAGCGTTTGTGTCAGAAGCAATAAAAACTAAGAAATCATCTTACATACCTAAAAACTTTCTTTACCTTTGATCCCTGAAGCTGGCTGTTAAGAGTACTGTCAAGCTGTACTAAAAATAAATCGCTTAGAACAGGTGCGATACACGAGCCGATGCATATGCCCTGTTTTTGCAAGTAAGGTTTGCCTCCCCACTCAATAAAAGTTGTCCGAAGATAATAAAACTAATGAGTAATTCTAAAAAGCCGCTGCTTGGAATCCTTAACTCATTTTGAAAGGCTACCACTCCAATCTATACACGATAGCAAGCCGGAATGTGGGAGGGAGTAACAAAGGTCTTTTACATCGACAGAAAACGCGATAAGAGCGTTTCCTTTTTGGATGCACTAAAAAAGTCCTGTGAGCATTGTATCCCCGCTGGTATTGAACAGCAAGTTTTCCGGTTGCTCGCAGCTGGGTACCCCAAACAAATTCTAACTGCGGTCGCGGAAGGCCTTCTAAGAAAGCACTGTCTCGAGGAAAACAATGGGAGCCAGCTGGCAAGACAAAAGGGAAAAGTGGTTGTGATACCGTATATTCACCGAGTGTCACACAATTTGAAGAAAGTAACAATGAGATCAAATGTAAAGGTAGTGTTTTCTGTGCCCAATAAGCTCATGGACCAGTGCAAACTATCGAAGCCTGGTGTGCGTGCCAAACACGGATGTGAAAGGAAGCACAGAACGAAATTTGTCGACTGTACAGATGGTGTGGTTTATCGTATTCCGTTGTCTAGTGGCACGCACTACGTCGGGCAGACGGGGCACTGCCTAAATGATCGACTTCGCGAGCACAGTAACAATGTGCAAAAATAAAACGGCGGGTATCTTGACTTGCATTGCAGGACTTGCGGTTGTACCCCACTGCTGGATGGATGCATAAAAAAGTGAAAGCCGTTTACAACTCCCTGTAATGCCGAATTGGAGCGCAGCTCTTGAGGAAGAGGAGGGAAGGGTACTGAGGGCCAAGTGTTCTTGGGGGGGGGGGGGGGGGGTCACGTCCCCCGAGGGCACGTGACCTTGGTGGGGTCACGTGCCCCCCTCCGAGGTCACGTGTCCTCGGGGTGTCACGTGACTCCCCAGGTCACGTGACCCCCCCCCCCGGTCACGTGGCCAAAATTTCCCCGCTAGATTTAGCGAGGAAATTTTTTCCGCTAGATTTAGCGGGGAATTTTTTTCCGCTAGATTTAGCGGGGAAATTTTTCCCGCTAGATTTAGCGGGGAAATTTACCCATAATGCACCGCGCGGTTACGCCGACGGCGACAGCGACGCCGCTCAAGCCGGAAACGGGCGCCTAAGAGCTGCGCTCTAAAATTTAAAAATGCAAGTCAACGTTAACAGGCGAAATTGTAGAAGGTGAGCACATTGACTATTTAAGAGACACGTGTGTTGCTATGCTATCGATTGCGTCATCGGAGAAGGAACTGGTTTTCCTGAGAACGACAGTGTTTTTTCTCAATCATGCTCTGTGATGGTTGTTTCTTTGCTTTTGTCGTTTTGTTTGTTGTCCTTCTGACGATGGTTCAGAGTATAAATACTGGAACACATATTCAATAAAAATCAGCTGAGAGTTGCACCTTGTTGTGATCTGTTGTCCCTATTTTTCCTCATCCTAGCTGCGCACAAGACTGCATAAGATGTCAAACCAACTTGCCCAAACAACCACTTTTCTCTGTGATAAGGCTAGAACGGATGTCACCTTTCTGGAAATGATCACTAGTTACTTTAAAATGCAGGCGTCATGTCTCACAGAGACGAAGTTACCCCTTTGAATAAGGTATGGTTCACTATGTAGAGATGCCAGTAGGATGCCAATTTTCTTGACTTATCTTCAAACCCAAATGTGAGGCATGGTTAGGTCCCTCTAATTTACTTCTTTTTTTGTTATCATGGAAGCTACCTTTTCACGCTGTGTCGGGCAGCATGCCTCTTTAGAAACGCTCGTCTCCATACTTACTCGGGCCAGGTTTTAATACAACCCGAGTTAGCACAAATTATAAGGTGAACTTGGCTATGGTCTGTAGTAGGATAGCGGGTCCTCCCACTTTAGCAGAGCGAACGCTGGAAAGGAAGACCCCACCAATCATGGACATCAGGACATCTCTGTGGGTGGGCCTCGTTCACTACAGAAAATTTTCCAGGCAAGTTTCGCGCTCATGTGCACGAACTCGTCGGAGCAAACGGCCACCACTTGGAACTCACCGGTCGCGTTGGCGGTCGTCTTGATGTAGCGGACCTGCGCGCTCGAGTCCTCCAACAACAGCTGCGGCTGGGGCTTGAACACCAGCTCGATCTCGCTCGTCTGAGCCGCGTCCGAGCCAGCATCGTCAGCGTCCGTCTCCTCCGTCTCCCCACCGGCCGACTCGGTGTCGTTCGACTGGGCCGTGGTCGGCACCGACGTCTTGGGCTTCTTCCTCGGCTGCGACGTCGTGCTGCTCGTACTGCTCTGGGTCGTCGCGTCGCTACAGCTCCCGGGGGTGGGCGTCTGTCTCGCCGTGTTGCTCGCCGTCGGCGCCGCCGCCGCCAGAGCCGGCGTCGGCGGCGTCGCCGCACTCACCGGACTGTTGGCGACGGGCGTCGAGACGCAGGCCGTACCCGCGGTCGGCGTCGACGGCGCCTGCCCGCCCGTGCTGTTCTCTTCAGACGCATTCTTGCGCACCCGCTGGCCCCTGTTCAAAGCCTGCATCCGCATCCCTTCCTCGATGCTGTGCGCCAACGCCTGGCTGTGCTGCTTGTTGAGCTTGGCCAGCACGCGTTCCTGGTGCGCCTCGTATTCGTCGCGGCTCGGGTATATTTTGGCGATGAGCATGTCGAAGTTGGGGTCCGCCCGCAGGGACCGCTTGGAGACGAGCTTTTTTCGACAGGTCGGGCACTCTTTGTTGCCGCTGCGGAGCGCGGTGATGATACACTCCTGGCAGAAGCGGTGCAAGCACTCCTTGGTCGTCATGGTGTTCTTGAGCATGTCCAGGCAGATGGGGCACATGAGCTCGCTGTGCAGGCTCCGCGGGGACACGGCGATCTCGGTGCCGTCCGTGATCACGTCCTGCGGGGTCCGGTGGAGCTCGTACAGGCTCAGTTCCCAGGTTCGGTTCGTTGTTTGGGTGTCTGACGACGACATCTTGGAGAACTGCCGCTTTCTTGTGTTGGGGTGCGATGATGATGATAGCGGGAAAACTGGGAAAACTCTAGAGTGGAGACTGCGGCCGTCTAATTTTTAAAACAATATAGTTAACATCGAAGTGTAAAAAAAGAAAGTAAATTGCTATGAAAATATTTAAGAAAATTAGCTTATGGTTCCGATTTTGTTTAAAACAGTTAGCGTATTGACGATAAAAAATAGTTTCGATTCGTAAGCCTAGGGCGTGCGGGGCGTGCGCGAACTACGGGGAGCGCTTCTCAAACTATCATCATCATCATTTGTGACGTCACGGGTGGGACAAACTGGGAGAGACCGCGCAGATCTCGGATACCTCAGCCCGTCAGCTTGTTTCATGCACTGTTTGGGTAACGCGCGTCAAAGCGTTTCAGACGTATTTATTTCGTGAAACGACGTTTGTAGTAGAACATTTTACCAAAGTTTGAAACTGCACATGGCACGCATAGTCGTGCCAACAAACACTTGGCGCTGAGGTGCAAAGCGCTCGTATGGTGGTGTGCTGTTCTCCACCCCAGTTCAAAAAGCTGGATGATGAAAATAGAATATACAGCTCTTTACCCCACCACAACATCCACCACGGCAAATGGGGTATATTTCTTATCATGATTCCGACAAAATAAAACAAAAAAAAAGTCTAATTAAATTGAAAATAGGAAAGCGAAATTCGAGAACCTATCATGTGCAGTAAACACCTCAGTGAGAGCGACTCAGTGTACCCCATTTGTTCCAATATGTGTTTTGCAAGTGCTGGTCTCTTATTATTTCCGAGTTGATACCTTTTTTTAATTTTGTAAACCAGCAAACAAACACTTCCTCAAAATAATTGGCAGCAAGCAGTGGCTCTATTCGAGTAGTTTCAACGAAATCCCTGCTTATCCACCCGGTCAAAGCAAAATGTGCAAAAGCCCTTGCGATCAGTTTTGTAAGTCGGCGACACTTCAGCGTTCCAAGAAATGAGGAACACGCCTGGTACAAATTACTACCTTTTGTATGTTGAATTTTTGCTGTCCCAAATGCGCATAATGCGTGATACGCTTCTCAGAGAGCGATTCAATTAGTAAACAGTTCTTAGTAAAAATAAGTAAGAAAAAATTAATCAATCACCTGAATTTGCCGGACCATGACCGGAAATTTAAGAATTCATGAAAATTTGTTTTTTTTTCGAGCAGAAGTCACGATGTGACAAACTTCTTTGCCACGTATTTGATTCGGGAGGAGCTTAATGTCAGTTGCTGACAAGCATTTGCTCGGCAGCAACTGTCGAGTCGCACCTGGATAGAAGCGTTGGAATCGGCAAGCTTAATGTAGCTAAAACAAGTGTGCTGTGCTTTGCAACACAACTGTGCACTCGTGTACAGCTAAGAAGAGAGCACGTCATTTACTCTGGTGAATGCAACACCTTTTTCCTACAGCAGCCTCCACAGATCCAAAAAAAAACAAGAATCAGAGGTGTTGCGAACAGCCTGGATGCACGCCGTGCAAGCTGTAAAGCGAATTACCAGGCATGTTTTTGAACATTTTAAAGTCTTTCTAATATAAAAAGCAACTTTGAGGCACTGCTATTTATTAGAAAGATCACTCACAAAAACATTGTATGCGTTTCTTTAATAAATAAACCGTTTTTAATCGGCATAAATGCAAACTAACGTAGCCACTCAGTGCTTTGACATGGTGCGTCGTCTGCTCGCATCCTACCAGCTGCGTCACAGGAGAGCACCTGCCAGGTGGCGCCACCAGAACATCTCGTCCCCAAATTCTACTAAAAGAAAACCAGAAACCAAAATTGCTAAAAACGTACCTAATAAAAAAAAATAGTCAGTGTGCAGGCAAGCTGGTGGAAGTGTACCATGATGAATTTAACCCAAAAAGAAAAATGTTTTTTTTTTTTTTTTGCTACTCAAAATATATTTATTTTTTCAGCCCTTCTCGGGTTAAACTCTTCTTAGATTCGTCAATTATCGACAAACTGTGTCACAGATTGTACAGCTCCAAGATTCACCCTTCAAAAGCACTAGTGAGCATAAATCTCACGCAGTTATTAGTACGAACTGGGCCACCAATGATCGGTTGCCAAATAGGAGGCGAATCGTCTGATGGTGACTAAGTCCAGTATTTTCATTTTGGTCGCACACGGTATTATTTAGCAGAGTATAATGGCACGCAAATGTGCCACAGAATAACAAAAACAAATGGTTTCAAGCAATCTTGTTCAACAGCATTTTATTCACGCATACGACGCTTCCGTCCATCGAGGCACTTGCATATCACAAAAATCGACACCTGTGCGCTGTCTGCCATAAATAAATAAAAACATTGTGAGCGTAAGCAAAATAAATAGTCCCCATTTACACCACCTCACACCAAAGGCACGTGCTGTAAAAACAGTTGTGATCTGGAAGCAGACAGAGCATGTGACACAAAGCTTGCAAGGAAGAAAAAAAAGGAAGGGCTAAAACATAATGTGCACCTTACCGAAGGCTGTACGCGGAACTGCTACAATTTCCTACACGCAGAACTTTTACATTTTCCTTTACATTGGGTCAGAATGGCTACCATTGCGTCGTTCTAGACATACCCCTGAAGGCACACACGCAATATACGCTAACTTAACAAGCACTACGAAACGCTGTAGCAAAACTTTGGAAATCGCTTATGTTGGACGACTGTCCCGTGCAACTATAGCACGCAACTATAGCACGCAACTATAGCACAATGTTTTGGAGTGGCACGGAATATCGGAGCACAACAAAGTCTCGTTTATCCAATTGGCTTTGTAAACTACCAAGCCGCTTGGACTACGAATCCCGCGCTTAATCCAGCCAACATAAAAAGGCGCGGGGATAATAAGCCTCACGTTTGTGTCTCCACTTCTTTTCTTTCTTCTCGAATCTTTGTTCCTTTTTGGTGGCAGATTCGGCGGAAATTCCTCTTTGGCACAGAAGTAGTTGCAGGCCCCAATCTTGGTCCTGCCTGGTTCTCATTCCTCAAAAATTTGTCCCCAAAGATTCCCTAAAACCCTCGTTTTGCCTGAGATGCCATGAACTTTTGTCAAACGTTGAGATTTGACTGGTTTGGAGAACCTTGCAACATTTAACAAGGCTCGACAAAGTTCGACTTCAAAACAGTGTTGTCCAATACACCAAAATTTCGAATCTTATGAAAATTAATTTATGCAATAGTCTATGTTAAATTTGAAAAAAAAATTTAAAAACTTTTAAGCAACTAATACTCTATCACCAGGTGGCGATAGACTAATAGTCAACATTTTCATTAATTTATTTAATTAATAAAAAAGGATAAATTAAAAAGAATCATGTAATAGTCGACCTTGAGTGGAACTTTGCATTAGACGTTAGAAAGAGTTGAATGTGAGTGAAATCAAATCTCAGCAGGTTTGCGACATCCCCAACACTTGCTTTCTAAACAAGTTCTCCCTAAAATTTGCTAAAATCTTGCTTTCACCGGTTCTCGTTCCCTGAGAGTCATCTCTCGAAATTAGCCAAGAACTCTGTGTTTGTCCGGTCCTCATTCCCTAAAAATCTTGCTTCTGGCCGGTTCTTGTTCTCCAAACTCTTCCCTAAAACTTCCCTAAAAACGGGGCGCTCAGTTGGCCAGGTAGCGGAAGCCTTGCTGGTGCTGTGGCCGTGGCAGGCTTCCCAGGCTCCGCTGGGGGGACCCCTCGGCCGAGCTGCCCCCGCTGCCCCCTCCGCCCCCCGTCCGCTTGCGCAGCGTTCCCACGGGGGTCAGGTCCCTCGAACCGTTGCGGGGACGCACTGTCGAGCACGCGAGAACATTTCGTTAGCATATATCTACAGGGTATCCCCCCAGAAAAAACTTAGATTTGTTTTTACTTCAAAGGCAAACTACGCATCGTCAAGCGTTCAGCTTCCACTGCACGCGAGCACCTCTCGCGTTTCTACTTTGTCCCAACAAACCAGTCCGACATCGCACTGATTTGTTCGGGCAACAAAGAAATGTTGCGGCAACAGTCATGGTACCGACGTTGTGGTAATGTTGATGTAACTAATCTGGAAGCAAACTAAGGATGCGACAATGACGACGGAACCAACGTTATGTCAATGTTGCTGGAACTAACTTTGTGGCAATATTTTAATATGGAACACTTGCGGCGTCACTGTTGATGGAAACAATGTAGTGCACATTAAAAAAAAAACAATGTTGCGGCAACATTACAAAGAGAACCAACATTTTAGCAGCATAAATAAAACCAACATTGTGTTCATGCGGACGAAACAAATATACTGGCAGCAATAGTAAAGACAACATCGTGCTACGGGTGATAAAACCAATTAATGTGACGCCATCATTACAGCCACTGTTGTAGCAATGCTAATTAAAGTAATGTGTCGATGTTAGCTCCGTAACATTAGCCCAGCGTCGGAACGCGTCAAGCTGCCAACTGGCAGATTTGTTTAAAGCCCCCTCGTCACAATTGTACCTTTTGTGCCGAAATAAAAAATCCCTCTCTCTCTACATTAACACCAAATGCCTCGTCGGTTCGCCGTAGAATGTAGATCATTGAGAGAGCGTCATTTCAAAGATCCAAATTACGCATCGTTGCCTGGCACGCAAGTGGTTCTCCCAGTCTCGGGTTTTACCGTGTGGAAGTTTCACAAGTGTGCCTGCATTTGAATGCTTGCATTATCAAAATATTGCGCCCCACTATTTGTGGCATACGTGTATATATATACCACAAAATATGCGTGGCATATTCTTGCATGCCGCGGATATTTTTACGTTAAAATAAACAAACTAAACATTAACCAGCGATGAAAATGTGAAAGTTGAGTATGTTTTGGACTCAAATCGGCGGTTCTTCGCAAAGCACTCACTGTTGTGAAAAATGCTTCCGCGAGAGGACTATGACGGCATGCCCTCTGTGGCCTTAAGAACATCATACTCGATTTGGTACGAGCTCAATGTCCCTGCTACTAGATGATAGTGAGTTGAGGCCCCGGAGTTGTAGAG